CACGTGTCTGAAGTCAGTCTTTCCTTCTCAGAGAAGATCCTGTACCTCTCACAAGAAGTAACAGCACAGAGAACAAACAGATTTTACCTGGAAGAGAAAACCGACTTCAAACTTATGGTCAGTGGAATTCGAGGTTATTTTCCCCACAGAAGAAATTCCAGGCACACCACTGGCTGGAAGCTTCCTTCCAGACTTCCCACTAACCTCACCTCATCTTCAGCTGGGCTCTGAATTGTCAAAAGGGCCACACTAGTCATGCGTGGCTCTACATTTGGAGGACATAGGCATGCCTAAAAACACCTACAAACTGTGGCTGCATTACCAAAAACAGAAACAAAAGTTTTAATATGGATGTTGACTTTTGAACTTCAAATCACTTTCCATGTCACAGTACTTTAAATCTTTTTCCTAATAACTAGAATGTAAAAAATGCCCTTTCCCTCCATGAGCTTCTGGAAGCAAGGAGGGTACCCTGATACTCTTACACAGTCCTTGTCCTGACCATTTTATAAGTTCCCTCCTTACCCAAATTGTGGGCATCCACTGATTTTGTTGCTGCCTTTGACTATACTTTACTCAGCCAGTCCCTCATCGACTGCATTCTGTGGTCCTAGACCTCCTTGCTGGACTACAGTCCCACGGTACCTTGCAGGTGGCTCTCATTCCCTGGGATGGGGTTTCTCTGAAACAAAATGTGACTGCACACTAATAACTATGTATCGCTACATATCTCCTTTCTTTCTCTCCTCTCCTCCCCTCTTTACTTCGCCACCCCCACTTCTCTTCCTTTCAGTCACAAATTCCCTATGTAGCCAAGGATGATCTTGAACTTCTGATCCTACTGCCTCTGCCTCTCAAATCCTGGGATTACAGGCCTGCATCACCAGGTTTGGGACATGTGATGCTGGGTATGGAACCCAGGGCTTTGCATACATTACCAAGCACTCTACCAACTGAGCTCCATCTCCAGAACCATTTCTATCTATCTTTATATGCGTATTGAAAATATCTCTGAATATCAGCTTTGGTACACTGGAAAACAAGTTGTGTTACTAAGAAGAAAAAAGTTGTCACCAATTAAAAGTTCATGAATATGAGAGAAATCAAAGAATTAGAAGACACCCCAACAGGGCTTGGAGAGATGGCTCAGCAGTTAAGAGGAATAGCTCTTCCTGCAGACGACCCAGATTCGAATCCCAGGACCCAAATGGCAACAGTCTGTAACTCCAGCTCCTAGTGATCCAATGCCCTCTTCTGTCCTCCACAGGCACTGTACAACATGGGTGCACTTACATACATGCAGGCAATACACACAAAATTAAATAAAAAATTTTTCAAAAAGCATTTTTAGAAGAGACCCCATTCAAGATGCAGGAACATTCCTAAAGACAGTTGCTGAGGAAGTTGGATCCCCTTGAGAGGGCAGGCACAACAATGAACAACATCCCACTGAAAGGAGCTCTCCCGCTCCCCCCACCAGCCCTGCTTTGTCTCTGGCATCTGCTGCATCCCCAGACGGGGCTCAGGGACAGTCCCTCAATAGGTACTTATGAACGAATGAGTGGATCCAGCACTGACTAGTGGCTCTTTGGAGATGTCCGAGTCCCAGATCCTCCTCCTCCCTTCTTGGAAACCTAGACAGACACACATCTCAGTCTTGTAGCTGATGCCATGGTGAGAATGTACAATGTTCACAGTGAGGTCACACCAGGGTCACTTGAGCAGAGGTGCGTGCACTGCTAAGCACGCATACTAAGGCCAATCATTACTCAATAGGTCTTCAAGATCTGTGGCACTATTCTCCCCGAGACAAAAAATTAGATTGATTTCTAAGTCACCAACACAGCAAAGAGTGACTGTGACATTAGTAAAGCATGCTAATCTGTCATAATGCAAAGGAATATTGTGTTTCCTATCAAAGCAACAACCTTGAGTTTTTTGGTCTAGAAAAGAAAGCGCCCACAAACAAGCGCAGCTTTTTTACTGTAGGATCATTCCTCAGAAGTCAAACCCCTGCAAACAGTGGGGAAAGAGCAAGAGAGGAGTGGGGCTAGGAGACTTGTGTCGGGCTGAGGCGCTGTGTGGACACCAGGAAGGCAAGCAACCTTTCAGTAATGTTCTTGCCTTACACTAAGGGTGGACTTGCTATCCACATGGCTTCAAGTCAGGCCTGGTGGCCCACGTCTTTAGCCCTAGTACTTGGGAGGCAGAGGCTGGTGACTCTCTTGAGTTCAAGTCCAGCCTGGTCTACCTAGTGAGTTCCAGGATAGCTGGGGCTACAGGGAGACCCTGTCTCAGACCAAGAACAATAAAATAATAATAATAATAAACGGCTTCAAATAGAAAATGGTGTTTGCCACCCAGATAACAACTTCCTTCTCTCCTTCCACCATAGCCCGAGTCACACATAGCCCTTCCTTAATCCTTCTTTGAATAGTAAGTTTAAAAGCTTGTTCCCTTTTTCAGAAAATAGGGAAGGGCTGGTTTTAACAGTCCAGTATCAAACCGCTGAAACTGGTCACAAGTTGAAATGTCATGTCATTTAAAGGGTACTGGTTAAAGAAGGTATGGTTCACCTGTACAGAGAATGATTAAGGGATGCTACAATGATCCCAGGCAGCTTTCAGGGAAATCTGTGTATATGCCCCATGCTCACCATGCAGAGTTGGGAGAGGAATTGATGAGGACCACATGTTTGCAAAAGCACAACCTTCTCTTACATCTTTTGAGATACAGGATAGTGCTTCGAGACACTGAGTCTGACAGCATGTGCAAATAGCGTTTACCATCTGCCAGACTCTTCAAATGGTTCATAACAGTCATGTACATCCTCGTAAGTCCTCGTTACAGATTCAAGGATTACCCAGCAGCAAGTGGCAGGGATGAGATTCAAACCCAAGGAATCTGGCTTCAAAATCTTTTCTCTGGTACTGAGCTCTGTTGGTAAGGGTACTCACCAGAGGGGAAGGGTAAACCTGAAGAATTTGGAAATCAGTAATGGGGCAAATTAGTGATATCTACTAATTTGTTACATTTAAACATTTGCTGGGCATAAATTATCTTTTTAAAATACATTTTAAGGGGGTAGAAAAATGGTTCAGTGATTAGCACTGGCTGTTCTTACAGAAGACCTGGGTTTGAATGCCAGCACCCATATTGGCAGCTAACAACCGTCCATAACTCTAGTTCCAGGGGATGATGCCCTCTTCTGTTCTCCATTGGCATTGCACAACACAGGTGTAGTTATGCACATGCAGGCAAAACATGCACACACATAATTTTTTAAAAAAGAACTTAGGGGTGGGGCTGGAGAGTTGGCTCAGCGATTAAGAACACTTGCTGTTCTTCCAGAGGTTCTGGGTTCGATTCCCAGCACCCACATGGTGGTTAACCATCCATAACCCTAGTTCCAGGGGATCTGACACCCTCTACACAGGTAATACACTTATAAAATATTTTTAAAAATTAAAAGAACTGGAATTTATCTGTCTCCCATAATCTAGCATATAATACATTCAATTTTTAAAACAGCCTGACCACACACTATTGTGACTTCTATCATGTCCCAAATTGCCAAAGAACTAACCTGGTAGTGTCAGGCTCCTGGCTTTAAAACAGATGCCTTATTTGTTGACTTGTGACACCCTCCCTGACACTTGTCTCCCTGTGGAATCCTCTCATGCACTGCATGACTGTTGAAGTGTGTCTGGACAACCACACAACGAAAATGGACCCATCTTCCAGTAGAAACATCACATATGCTATTTAACTGCCAGAATGTGTGAGGACTGGACAGCTTCTGAGACAATGACCTCAAAACCTGGAAGGTAAAGGTGTGCTGCATTTACTAAATCATCAATGGCTGCGCTCACTTTTCAGAAATCTCCCAGACACTCACATCTGGGGGGCAACAGTCCAGCTGCCACTGACTTATCAGACATCACATACTGATCCCAACTCCACACAGCTAACAGCAGAGGATTCAAAGCTAAACCCAGCATCCTCAGGGCACAGTGGACACAGGTGAGCAAAACTCAGGAAGTCCCAGGACCTGTGCAGTCAGTCCACCTAGCCTTCCCACTTACTAAGTTCGTGAGGTGAAGAAATGAGTAAAGCATCAAACATTTCCTGGCATTTTTGCATGTTCATTAAAAATTACATTGCCAGCCGGACCTGGTAGTACACGACTTTAATCCCAGCACTCGGGAAGCAGAGGCAGGAGGATCTCTGTGAGTTCAAAGCCAGCCTGGACTACACAGTGAGTTCCAGGACAGCTGGGGCTACAGGGAGGCCCTGTCTCAAAAAGACCAAAAAATTAAAAAAAAAAAAAAAATTGTATTGCCTTTGGAAACAAAGACTGAAAATTTACCTACGAACCCAAAGGCCATAACTTTTAAACTCAATCTATCTAAAACTGTTTGCAGAGTCAACTCTACTTAATAGTAGCCCCCAATTCTGCACTAGCTGTACCATGTAAAATGTGGCAGAGAAAAATCACAAAGATCAAGAGGAATGAGAGCTGGAAATCAGAAATCCCATGCAACACTACATATAAAGCCCAGAGAGGAGAAGCAGTAAACAATCCTCTCTTTGGGTTATTGCACTTTTTCCATGGCAGGTGCCTCAAAATGGGATTCCCATCACAAATATGGATCTATGCATGCCAGCAAATGCCAAATTATGCCAACAGGGAGCTCCGCACACGACAGTCTGTCATTCAGTTCTGTATCCTTGCTGCTTGCACCCTGACATCCCCCGAGTACTGAAGCCAAGTTTCCTCCCTGTAGCTCAACAAATGCTCTTGGATCGTCAACTGAGGAGGGCCAAGGAAGAGGCAGAGGTGAGCTAGAATGGAAAATAAAGTAATCCACACATGACGACATTCTTCTCTTTCATATTTTATTGCATTATGAAAATAATACATTTATTTGGCAAAGTAATCTAGACTCCAAGTTGAAATAAAAGAAAATTCTGAAGTGTAGGATTATTTTTAAATGTGAAATAAATGTATTCTAACCAATACATACTAGCATCCTTATCAGGCCAATAACCCAGTAAAGCTAATTTTAATAATTCCATACGAAATTACAAGGTGTTTCGCATTCATTCATCTTATGATTAGCACAAACCTCAAAAACTGACCTTCATTTTGTCAAAACCAATATATCTAAGAAACTCCTGCTCAGAAGACAGTTTGAAACACTACCCAAAATTATTTGCTTTGGTTCTACAGGCTGCATTTCCATCTTTACCACATTACAGTTTTCATAAACATTGCAGCAGCTTTAGGCTCTGCCCAAGTACCTTTAAGTAAACTAGTATATTACATTTACAGTATTTGAAAAATTGCTGATTTTACAAATGCATAAATACATGCCTATCTACACCAGCAAAATAAAACATTCTGGACCTCAATGCGGTTGACAGGCCACACTTTCTGACCCAGGATCTCTGGGATACCTTTCCAAAGCCAAATGGTTATGACTCCCTGACTAGCAATTCCATTGCTCTGGCCACACAGGTCAAAGGCTGTAAGTCATGATAAACACTAAGATTAAATTGATAACCAGCATTTAAAATATGACATTTTCACTACTTATTCTGTTCTGCTACATTTTCAAAAGGTAAATTTTTTCAAAAACCAAGATTATTTTCACTTTTTAAAGGAGGCGACTGAAAAAAACGTATTATATGTATATTGTTTCTTCATTGGTATCATCAAATTCTTTTTACATGTAAGGGTCAGGGACTAGAGTAACAGGTAAATAATTCTCTTTAATATCAAAGAACAAGCTATCTTCAATCACTAAAGTCTTGAGTCTCCCTTTTGATATTTTAATAGATCTTTGCTTGTCATGTTAAGGAAATGTGCCTAAACATTCATAAATTACTATCACTATTAGAACTGACATTTTTATTGAGAAAAGTCTGTTAAGTGCATCTATGCATACTTGTGGCCACCAGTATCTATCAGCTGAACAAGGTCTCCCCGTTTAACTGTGGAAGTATCCCACCTATCCTAAAGATATTCCATCGGCATTCTACATTTATCTGTATACACAGCAACAACTTTGATCTAAGATCAACATATGAATAGCTAATAAATATTAAAACTATTAAACTATAGATTAAAATGCAGCTCTCATAGAGTTAAGTGATGTCATTGTGGTACATTCACCATTATTGTACTTTATTTAATAAAGAAATACATTTGCCCTTGCAAAAATAGCAATTGCAAGTTTACAAATAAAACCAGAGACCTCCAAGTCATGATGCTAAATCTTCAACTTATAGCCAACACAAGTAAACTGATTTGTTTACAAATGGTCCATGGCTTTACAAATAAAGACTATCAAAGGTCACAGGAGCTTAAAGAATAGGTTTATTGACAACAATCTTCATAAATACTCTAAGGAAAATTTCAAAATTCTAAACCTAAACTGCTTAAAATCTGCTCTCATTGGCAAAATCCCCCAACAAAATAATATAATAAGTCACTAAGACATCACAGTTAAAATTTGCTTTAACATTTTTTGCCAATTTTTAAAACTTAAAATATTTGATTTTTAACCCTCTTGGGTGCAGTAAATCAATAATCAATTTTCATTAGATATATTCACGGATATCTATCTAGCTAACGTGAACCTGAATGACGTCAGTCAGTAGTATATTACTCTGCAAACAAACGGAGCCAAATCATTTTGATACTTTTAAAGTCATAGTAATTTAAGTAGTCAAAATGCAAGCCTCGTGGTTTCCTTCCAAATCACCCAAAGCTTATGACACAACATGAGAGACTGTCTGCATCGGTTATTCTAAATCCATCTATGTACTTCAGGTATCTGAAACTAAAAAAGGGATTCTTGTGTATTTTGATAAAAATGTACTCGAATATTTCATAACATTAATATTTATTGCTTTATATGAATACTGTATTGAAAGCCCAAGCATTCAGTTTACACACAAAATTATACAATTATATACCGCTTCACAAAGGCAGTGAACACATTACAGTCTACAAAATCTACTTTACAGAAATTTAAAAATTCTAAATATCAAAAGGTACAGCTGAAGAAACAAGTATAAATTTGGCAGCCAGTAATTCTGACAGGGAAGCTGCAGCTTGCATGACTTTAAATATGTGAATTTGAAAATATTGAGTTTAGAGTAACCATTGTGCTTTGTGTTGATCTGAAAAATATAACACTGGCTGTCGAAGAAGTATGTTCAAAAATATTTAATTCACTTTAAAATGTTATACAAATTATGGTGGCTCCTATGCACCCCTAAAGCTTGTCCTTTTAGCTCAGGTACATCACTAAAGTAATATATTAATTCTTCCAGTACAGTGGTGTTTCATACCATTGACATTTGCATACTCTAGAATAATTTAGAAAGAAAGGTGTAATATTCACAACGTTCAGAAAAGCAAGCAAAACGTGAAGGAACCTGCCTGGTTCTTCTGAGATGGTCTTGTGTCAGCTTCATAAGCATTCATTTTACAAAACAGTAAGCTAATGTTTAAACACAATTCCCAAGATAAAGCACATTTTCTCATAAATAATGAAGTCTCTTTTTTTCTCAGGCACCGTAGAAGTATACAAAAGAATTTTAGAGTGCACAGATCTCTTGGAATGTGTTTAACCTGGTATTTCAACAGACTTAAAAGATTTCCAGGGTTTCACTGGGGCCAGATTTTATCTGAATTGCTCAGAAGAGAAAGAAAATGTCTTCTGAAAGAAGTGAATGCAATCATTACCGATAGAAAAAGTATCCACTGTATTCATCTCTTATAGAAACAGAAAAATATAACATTTCCCCCCCTTAGAATAATATATATATGTATATATGACTTAAAGTTCCATTGTACATAGTCAAACAAAATCTGGAAACCACATGAAACCCTATAATTCACATGTTAAAATGTTGAAACTATGACCAAAATATGAAAACTGCTAGAGCTGTCAGAAAGAGACAAGACAAAAATCTTTCTTGCATATGTATAAACCAAATGTGATCTTTAAAAAGTTTTCAAAATTATAATTACCTTCCAGTTTAAAAACTTTAATTCTAAATTAAAAAAAAAAAAAATCTATACACAAACCACTGATTTGAGCAGACCAGAAAAAACAAAAACCAAAACAAAACAGTCAGCAATAAGCAGGACCCAGAGGGGCTGATATTCACAGTTCTCACATGGACAACTCTTTCAGGATTTATTCTTAAGGTACTGTATTTTACAACCTGCTTCTCTTGTAAAACTAAAGGTCCATTTTATTACTTAAAAGTTTTATACAGTGTAAAACCAGAACTGTATGTAAAATACTGCCTCTAATATTTCTAAGTAGTTAGTCTTGCTCCATTGGTTCGTCTGTGGCTTCCGTGGCTTCATCATTTTCCATGGATGACTCTGAGGGAATCTCCCCAGTTTTACTGGAAGTGGACCCTCCTGACTCTTCTGTCTCATGGCAGTCAGAACCACTACTCACAGCGCCTGTACTTTCACTCCTTTCTGAATGGGAATCCTTCTCATCCTGAGACACGTCAGACTCCTCCATTTGATTAGTCTCCTCCACAGTTTCTTCATTCACAGTTAAGGCATCATCAGATTCTTTTTCTTGATTTTTTCTTTCTGGGATCATTTCTCTTGATGTCATAAAAGACTCTAGAAATAAGCAAATGTTGTACTTAAAGATTATTTTCAAAACATCTCCACAGTTACGTTTCATTTCTGTTTGCTCTACAGCTTATATCATATTCCTAGAAACTCAGCAGCAACTACATACAGTAGGTAGGACAAAAGCCCAACATTGGCATGATAAGTTCAGTTCTAAGTTGGGCATAGTGGTGCACTCCTTTGGGCCCAGCACTTGGGAGGCAGAGGCAGGTGTATTTCTGTGAGTTCAAGGCCACCCTGGTCTACATGGTAAGTTCCAGGCTAGCTGGGACTACAGGGAGACCCAAAAATACCAAAAATACCAAAAAAAAAAAAAAAAAAAAAAAGTTCCATTCTAACACACAACACACACACACACTCCCCCCACCCAAGAATGTGAGGTTACAGATGGTCTCTAAATACCTTCTTCCTCTTCCTCCTCCTCTTCCTCCTCTTCTGCACAGTGCTGCCTGGTGTGACTTTCTATGTCCTTAGCCTGAGATGAAGATGGTGTTTCGGTGTCTTCTGTTGTGACTAAAGAACTCTCAGTGGATGGTGTTTGGCTGGCTGTCTCTCTGACTTCACCTTCTTTGTCAAACCTCAGTCTTTTTACCTCATGTTCCTCAGCTTCCACTGCATCTTCATCTGGATGTTTATTTTTAATAGGGCTCAGTGAGGAAACTTCTGATTCAGATGTTGGAGAGTCACTGTAAATAAGTGTTAGTAAATAAGGTTATTTTCCTAGCCTACATTATCATTTTTAAGGTCAAATACCTTTTTAAAAATTGTACTGTTGCCGGGTATGTTGGTGAACACCTTTAAACTCAACACTTGGGAGGCAAAGGCAGGAGGAGCTCTCTGAGTTTCAAGGCCAGCCTGGTCTACATAGCAAGTTTAAGCCAGCTAGGACTACAGGGAGACCCTGTCTCAAAAAGACCCCCCGCAAATTAAATTGTATTGTAGAAGTTAAATTCAATATTGACGCTAAGAAAAACTGAAGGCAATCTGGACTGTTTCATGAATACTTCCCACTAGGCCCTAACTGGCACATTATACAAACTTTATGTGCAATTTTTTAGTAAGTCTTGCCTGTATCTACCATCGGTTCTATCAAAGCAGTACAGAAGCCATGGATCCTACAATCACATCAAGGCCATAGTAAAACAGTCATCCCTTAGGATCTATAGGGGGTTCCAGGACTCTTAGAGGACACCAAAATCTGAGGATGGCCAAGTTCATTTACAAAATGCACAGTATTTACACAGAACCCATGTACATCGTCCATGTATTTTATTATTTATTTATTTATTTAATTTATTTATTTGTCTTTTTGAGACAGGTCTCCCTGAAGATACTTTAAATCATTTCCAGGTGATATTAATATCTAATACATTGCAAATGCTATTTATGTAACTGGTATACCATACTATTTAGGGAACAAGTGGCCAAAGTCTATATCTAATCAGAATAATGCAATTTTTTTCCTCAAATACTCGATATTTTACCGATTCAATGTGCAGAACCCACAGATTGAATCCATCGATAAAGAAGGCCCATTGGACCTTGTGAATAGTAAACAGTGCTGAAACCATTAATGCTAAATTTCTGTGCATTTCTTTCTCTCTTTTAATATAATATCACACACAAACAAACCTGTGGTTTTTCTCTTCATCTTGCTGTAGGTTTGATTCTTTGCTATCTGTGCTCTCAGGCAAACCATTTGTTGTCAAGGGGGCTGACAAAGAAACTTTTGGTCGATTAAGTGGCCTGGGTGTTCCAGGCCCATTTATATTAGACCTATAATAAAATAAATCAACATCGTTTTTCATTTTTAGAAATATGTCATCCCTCCCAAAGTACCTATCACAGTATCTGCTGTACTTTTGACTTTCAGATCCATGCCTTAACCTAATTAGCAAACATAGCCTAGTATATCCTAGACTATGTTATCTTATTATCCTCCCCATAAGCTATACAATTTAAAAAGAAAACCCTATACTGAGCCTGCTACTCAAAATCAGGAAAATATAAACACTTTAAATATGTTTTTTTAATCTACAATATTTTTTACCTGTCAGTATAGCTTGGTGAGTTTCCAGGAAACATAACACCATTCATTCGACTTAAACTATTGGAACTATTCTTCCTGTAAGAAAAGAAAACACTTTAGATGAGTGTGGTGGTGCATGCCTTTAATCCCAGTGCTCAGGAGGCAGAACTAATGTCTGATGTCCTGGTTCCAGGCCAGCCTGGGCTACACAGTTAGGCCCTAACAACAAAAGGAAAAGAAGCTATTTGGGCTGGTTCATTTCTTTTATTATGGTAAGAATCACAGGTCTAAAAGGTCTTTTGCAGCATGGTACATTCAAATAAAACAACTGCGAAAACAAGCATGCACCCTCACTGACAAGCATTGGTGAAGAAATCTGCTATAAATCAATGACACTTGATTTAGAGCCTCTTAAAATGTTTACAACATTTAATTTTTCATCATAATGCTTAATTTTTAAGTTTCTCTACCAAGAAGCATCACACTACAGGATCATTCGTCTCAGTATCTGTTTTAACAGCGCAGATAAACCCAAGAGTTCTATAAATGAACTCACTGCTGTTGCCCAACAAAGAAATAAGACTTTACAGTTGACTCAGTGGTTCTGGAACATACCTTTCTCATACCTCAGGGCATCTGCAATCTCTAAATGTACTAGGGGGTGAGACCACACGACAGACAGTACTAGCCTCAGTGGTTAAAAAGCAAGAACACTACTGAGCCTCCTCCAATTCCCAGGACATCCATCCACAGTAAATATGTGTTCTAGAAATGCCAATAGCATTTGAAAGCATGTGCCCTAAACAAGGTTCTTAATTTGCTACAGAAAATTTGAAAACTAGAAATACTTTTCCATTGTGAAGAGGAAGTCCATCAAGTGGCTATTCCCAGTCTAGTAGCCATCCCTAGAAAAACATCTAGGATGAGCTCTCAGGAGCCACCAATACCCGAATTGCAATGGACTGCCAGTCTCTTAGGCCCAAATTTCTCCACAACATTCTACTTTGGGGACCAGGTGTTAAGTTCACAATAAATGGTATCAGATTTAGCTACATATAAAATAAATGCAGTCTATTTTAAGAAAAATTTAAAATAGAGTATAGTAACTATGTAACAAAAGTAGGAAAAAAAAAAACCTGTGTACTTACTCTGAGGAAGGACAAACACAGCTAACAACCATCACATTCTGAAATAACAAAAAGTGGTGACTTAATATGAGGAAAGTAAATAGCATAAAAATTTAATCACTTTTGAAATCCCTCAGAACCATCCCAGTGTGTTAAGCTTATATCCTATCCCACAGAAAATAACTGGCTAAAAAGGAAGTAAAACAGAAAGTGATAGTGACTACAAAAGACTGGAAGGGTGTCCCACTACACTACTGGCTGGTTTTATTTCATGTGCATGCACTATCTACGGGTGCACAGTCACAGAGGTCAGAGGACAACTTGTAGGAGCTCATTCTCTCCTTCCACCATGTAGGTCCCAAGGATTGATCTCAGGTCATCGGGCTTGGTTTGGTGGCAGGCGCTTTAACCTGCTCAGCCATCTTGCAGGCCCTGATCTATTTATTTCTTGCTACTCTTTTTTAGTTTCCTCTGGAGCACAGACATCATATCTTATATTTAACAGTAGACTTATGTCCCCACCTCCCATTTGTGTATTTGTATTTGTATGCATGCGCACACCTAGAGGACCCCAAGAGTGATGTCCATAATCATCCTTGATCACTTTTCCACCTCATTCACTGAGGCAGGGTTTCCCAAGTAAACCCAGAGCTTGATGTTATGGCTAGTCTCTCTAGGCAGTGTGCTCTGGGGATCCCCCATTACCACCTTCTGACACTGGAATTACAGGCCAGCCAATAACCCACTTGATATTTACATGGGTTCTAGGGATCCAAACTCTGATCCTCTGGCTTGTGTGGCAAACATTTTACCCATAGAGCCATCTCCCCTGCCATACTTCTAAAATTATTTTGAGACTGAAATATTTGAGTATAATGAATTTCCTTATAAAGCAATTATTCATCCCAACAAGAGACTCAACTCTCCTCCTTCTCGCCTTTTATTATACCTGGAAGAGTAACTTTAGAGCCCCTCATAGTCCTATCATCTACATTTCAGAGGACAAAGCAGGTGTTTAGATTAAACCACTGGCTCACAGACCACAAAGCACTGCAGCCCTGATGTGGCAAAGACAGGCTCCCATGAGTCCTGTGGTAACATAACACCTATTCACCAAAAATCTCCACACAATTACTTGAGCTGCAAAGTAAATGCTTATGAACCTCTGTGGCTTCCTACCCTTCAAAAATGTCATTTAACAGGCAGGAGAAGCTCAACCACATGGATGAGTCCAGCAAGAATAAGAACACTGGAAACCACTAAGTTAATGGTTTTAGATTCCTGTTCCCAGGGTAAAGTAACAGATCTTGAATTAGAACTTTATAATGAACAATGGACTGTTTTAGGATCAACCACCAAATGAGAATTAGTCATTTGTCCAAACTTAGTTGATCCAATTACTCCCTCCAAAGGTAACAACTTTTTTTCATGCTACCACTAGCACCCTTATTTACTGTTATTTCAATTCTCTAAAATGTTTATTACTAGTAGCCCTTTACCTATAAGCTGAACTGTACTGTTCTATATGATTTAAATGCTTTCTGCCAGCAAGCTTCCAGTTGGGTGCCTCTGAATTCCGTAAGCATATCTGCATACTATTAAAGTTAACAAAGTAATTGTAGAACTTTTTAGAGGCTTTTGTGTATCAATATATACTATGAACTTTAAGAAACTGCAAGCAGGGGGCTGGAGAAATGGCTCATGGGTTAGGAGCACTGGTTGCTGTTGCAGAGGACCCAGGTTTGGTTCCTAGCACCCACACAGTAGCTAACAACTGCCCAATTCCAGTTCCATGGAATCCAGCGCCCTCTTCAGACTTCTGCGAGCAATGTACAACACAGGTGCACTTGCATACATGTAGGCAAAACACAAGACACATAAAATGAACATTATTTTTTAATTTAAAAAAAGAAATAGTAAGCAAAAGAACCAATCCCAGTGGGATGATTAAGTGAGCCAACTAGTTCTTGAAATTCCACAGAAGAAAGAAGTGGTTATGACCTCGGTCTTCAATAACCCAATGTGATGGGCTGCTTCCATGTGGTAACTGCTATCTTTCCAGTAGGACAGAACTCAATCAGTTAAAACATTTGCTTTAAAAAAAAAAAAAAAAAAAGGCAGCTTTTCTTAAACTTAAAACCTGGGTCCTCTTGGGTCCTTCTTCTGCCTCCTACTATAAATTTCTCTCTCCCTACCTCCCCTCTCCTCGCCCTCTGTCTCAAACAGTATGATTTAGAAAACAATGTAGAACAATTTCAACAAAAGTTCTGTGCAACAAGTCTTACCCACTGCTCTTTTCTGTAATCTATAATCTATTTGGGCTTCAGTTTAATGTAATTCTCATAACAAAATACCTTTTCTACGCCTCTGAGAAATTTGTCTGTTCCTGTATAGTTTCTTCTTGGATCTGTTAGCAATTCACATAGTCGCTGGATAGTAAAAGGGATACTGCAAGAGAGTAATTTCATAGTCTGAGGTCATTAATCATCATGAAATGAGGAGCACTACTTCGTAAAGCTCTATTGGGTCACTCAGTTGTTAAGCTACAAAAAATGCCCACTAAAGGGACTGAATACACGAATCATTTAAAACATGCATGACAAAAAGCACACACCTGCTTCTACTGAAGGAAAGTCTTCTCTGCTTTAAAAAAAAAGTCCACAACCCAAAATTAGCAGAACGTTTCAAAACTGATCCAGAAAAAATTTAGTACAATATTCTAAATTTTGGTAATTCAGTTTCAACTTTACCAGAGATAACACAAATAATAATCAAGCCAGTTTATTTACATACAGAAAGTTTTCTCAAGCATTCTTCTGCACCCAAACAACTCTTAAGGTGTTTGAAAAAAACCATAAAGGATTCTGTTACTACTGGATAAACTATGTCCAATTATTCCAGTGAAAATTATTTTAAATATGAGTCTATTCCATTATTATAATTTTATATATAACCTATTTAGTCAATTAAATGTACAGATACACTCAGTGTTCTGATACCAGCCGAGTACTTTCACCAGAATGCAGCTTTACCTATCACAGCAAATACAAAAGACAAACTGGGGCAATATACAAAACGTTTTGCACTCAAAGCACTACTAGCAGTCATGAGAATCACAGCTGAGCAGTAATGCTATGAGCACTAGATGTGACAAATGCAGCTAAAATACACAAAATAAAACTTTGTATTTCAATGTTTGCCAAACAAAATCTACTTTATCCTGCTTTTGAAGAGAATTACAAAGCCTCAAACTACTAGTCAACAATCACAAAGTTCATTTTTTACAGGCATTTTCCCGCAACAGCCTCCCCTCCAAGGTAATGCAGCTAACGAATAAAGATGCCAGGACTCAAACCCAGTATCTCTAACTCCAAATCTTGAACTTTTTCACTGTGCCACACATTTAACAAAACCAAAGTATTTATTTGGGATAAACTACACTTGAATCTCTCACTCTGAACACCAATACTGTTTTTATAGTTTTATAAGTCAGTATAAGATTTATAACAAATTTTGAAAATGTTTAAAACAAATGTTATTTGTAACAAACGTTTTCTTTATCTGATTCAAGTCCAAGAGTCAATCTTTACTAACTCAGCATTCAAACCTAAAAGTGAAGACTGTTCTGCCAAAGGAAAGAACATAAAAGATGAAACATTTGCCAGATATATCCAGAAACAAAAACTACAAAGGGGCAACCAGAGTAAAGAGTTAGGCAAATGAACGTCAAGTCCCCCATTTTCCCTTGGCTTTATGTGCAGCGTGTGTGGTTTCAGTGTCTTTCTTTTCTACTTGCCTGACAAACTGTTTCATAGAAATTACATTAAATGTTATCAGAAGTTGAAAGAGTTCCTAATTTTACCAACACACGAAATTCAGAGACACTAATGATGTTACTATTCCTTGAAGCAGTATATTCTTTCTATACCAAAGCTTACCAGTTAAATGAAGAATCCATCTCTTTCACTGGGCAAAGAAGCCCAATGCTGGAAGTAAACTAATGTTTGTATCAGTCCATATCCCAAAGTCAATCTTACAAAGTTAATCTACAATATTTGCCAAAGCTATTATTAAGTTAATTATCTCTTTGGGTGCCTATAGTATTCTAAATTGCTATTTTACACATCCAAATATAAGCATCAAAAAATTACTTTCTGGTAAGTTCCTATTTTTCAATTTTATTAATTTGATTTGACTGGCACATCAACCCCAATAATCACAAGGCAAGATGAGGGAATAGAGTGGTATCAAATTATACCAATTCTCAACTAAATAATTATACCATGAAAAAAGGAATGAAGATGGGGTATTTTCAGAGGCCCACTCATAAATTCACAGCAATGCTATTTTTGTCTACTATTCATAAGACAGAGCTTGCTACCTACTTGCAAGCTTCTATCTAGTGAGGAGCAAGACTTACATGGATAACAGTTTTTCATTCATTATTCTTCTATGTTGAATAATTTAGAAAACAACATGGCTTCTTTTTGGCTACTAGGAATGTATCTTGTATCTTACATTTCTCTCTACCCTTCAAAATCCCTTTTCGTGTACTACAAGAACTATTGGCTACAAGTAATTTCTAAATTATGTTCTTGATGTCTGTGTTACACGATTTGCCCAAAAGTCCTCGATTTAAGTAAGCCTCTATGTTATTCATTATGATCCAAGCAGAGAGCATAAATGCCAGTAATCATCCTTTCAGTAACTGCTATATTGAATTTTAAATGCTTGTTAAAACCCTTAACATTTGTAAAAACATTAAAATGTTTATTTTTCACCTAAAAAGCTGGAACTTCAGTTTTGAGAGTTGCCATAATCCAGTCTCTTTAAAGTTCAAAAGTAATTTTCAAGGGGCTAGAGAGATGGCTCAGCAGTTAAGAGTACTGACCACTCTTGCAGAGGAACCAAGTTCAGTTCCCAGAACCCACATGATGACTAACAACTATTTCCAAAACTCCAGTTCCAGGGGTTCCAACTCCCCCTTCTTACCTCCACAGGCACTGCACAACGGGTGCACTTACATACGTACAGGCAACACACTCATACATATAAAATAATAAATACAAGCAGACAAAATACAGCTCTCCCTCCCTCTGCGGTCTCTGTCCTTGCTTCATTCACTGAGAGCCTGCATGTCCAGGCCTTATTTAAGAAAGTTACCAGAGACACTTACAGTTCAGGTAATCAAGAAAGGAATGAGTGAACAACTTCTAATTCAAAAACCAAAAATTACACACTCACAACTTACTAAAACAATTTTAGAAAACAGGTAGTACTCTGTATCCAAATGCTATGAAGCATTTAACTTATGGAAAAAAGAGAAAAGCAATTCAACAAAAACAAAACAAAATCGGCCAAGGTAAACAGAAAGGGCAGTTCATAAAAGGGCTATTGACACATGAAAAGATAATACCATTTAATCTGAAATCAAGAAAACAAAAATCAAAAAAAATTCACAGAAATATAACAATATACAAAATAAAAACTACAATATGTGAACTTAATACACATTTAAATGAACCCATTTTGTGAAGTATATTTTACCATACCATAAAAAAATTTTGTGGCTGGGTTAGTGATGCAGCTCAACAGTGAAGTGCTTGCTTGTGTCGTATTTGTTTTGTTTGTAAATTTTATTATTTTTATTTTATGTGTATGTGTGTATTGCCTGCATGTAGGTAAGTGCACCCGTTATTGTGCAATGCCCAAAGAGGACAGAAAAGGCTGTTGGATCCCCTGAAACGGGAGTTATGGACAGTTGTATGCTGCCATGTGGCTGCTGGGATTCGAACACAGGTCTTCTGCAAGAACAGTCAGTGTTCTTAACTGTTGAGCCATCTCTCCAGCCCCTGTGTCGTATTTGTGAAGAGCTTTGTGGTGTTTTGAAGGAAGGAGAATGACCCCTATAGGTTCCAAGTATTTGGATACTTGGTTCCCAGTTTGCAGCTGCTTGAGGAAGATCATGGAACCTTGAGGAGGTGAGGCCATGCTGCAGGAAACACATCACTGGGGACAGGTTTGAGAGTTCTTAAGCCTTGCAGGATTTAGTTCCGCTCTGCATCCTGTCCCAGTTTGAAGATGTAATTGACTGACTGGCTTTCTGCTCCTGCCACCTCCTGCTGCCATGCCTCCCTCACCATTATGATTCTTATCCCTCTGAAACCATAAGCCAAATAATCTCTTCCTTCTGTAAGTTGCCTTGGTCGTGGTGTTTTATCACAGCAACAGAAAAGTAACAAATACAGGCTTGATCTCTAGTACCACACACACAGAGAGAAAATTATTAGTGTAATACACTCTTACCTAGAGATGACTTTGATGCAAATTATAAAGTATTCCAAAATTTTTTAAATTTTATGTATTTTTAACATGTATGAGTATTCTGTCTGCTAGAAGTATGGTTACAGATGGCCATTAGCCATCATGAGGGTGCTGACGAATGAACCCAGGAGCTCTGCAAAAGAATCCAGTACTCTTAACCACTGAGGCATCTCTCTAGCCCAACACCTGGTAATTTTAATTCTCCTGCCTCGTGTCAAAGAGCTACCAAGCCAGGCAAAGGACACAGCTGTACATACAGTGATGACATCAAAGCACTTGTAAAATGAAAGCACAACTAGCATATAACATGATTCTAGTACATTCTTTACTGTATGTACTTCGGTAACATTTTGGGATCTTTGTTAAAGATAATCTATTAAAAATAAAGGGAGAAGTATACTAGAAAGAATACCCTCAAAATGGATGGAAAGGGCTGGAGATATGGCTCAGTGGGTAAAAGGTTGGCTGTACCCAAGCAACAAGGCGTAAATTTGGATCCCCAGAACCCACCTAAAAGCAGAGTGTGGCGGCATCTATCTGTAACCCACGTGCTGTGAGGAAAAAACAAGTGGATCCCAGAAGCTCACTGGCTAGTCAGTCTAGCCAGTCAGTAAGTTCCCATGACGGACCCTGTCTCAAAATACAAGATAAAGGTACTGCAGAGATGGCCCAGTAGTTAAGAGCACTGGTTGTTCTTACAGAGGACCCAGCACCCACATGGTGGCTAACAACTGTCTATAACTCCAGTTCCAGGGGATCTGATGCCCCCTTCTGACCTTCACAAGCACCCGGCACACATGTAGTACACATACACACATGTAAACCCTCATACACAAAAATGAAATTGTCTTAAAAAGAAGATAAGATGAAGAGGCAATGGCCAAGACACTTGGCATGACCTGTGGTGGCCACACAAGACTGCACAGACCAACACACACATGCACACACCATACACACAATTCTTTTCTTAAAGTTTTATGTATCTTAGTGTACTGCCTACATGTGCGTAATTGTACCCACGTCATGCAGTATCTGTGGCGGTCAGAAGAGGGCGTTGGATTCCCTGGAACTGGAGTTACGGACGGTCGTTAATTGTCATGTTGGGAATCGAACCCAGGTCCTCTGCAAGAGCAGTCAGTGCTCTTAACCACTGAGCCATCTCTACAGCCCCAACACACAATTCTTTAAATTATAAGAAAAACGGTACAAAAACAAAATATCTTTAAATATTCAAAACGTGAAACTAAAAGACTATAGATGTTTCAACATATCAAATAATTATAGACAAAAAAGACACATATAAAATGAGTATTAATTTTTTTCGTCTTTTTGAGGCAGGGTCTCTCTGTACCCCAGTTGGCCTGAATTCTGTAGGTAGACCATGCTGGCCTCAAACTCACAGAGATCCTCTTGCTTCTAACTCCCAAGTTCTGGGATTAAAGGCATGCAGCACCACACCTGGCTAATTAATTAAGCTTAGATTCTGCCTATTTTGGGTAAATGATTCATAATCGATTAGTCATTCTGAAAATTGTAATAAAGAATTTAACTCAAAATATTTAAGGTTCAAGGCCAGGCATGGTGGCGCACATCTTTAATCCCAGCACTCGGGAGGCAGAGGCAAGCAGATCTCTGTGAGTTCAAGGCCACCCTGGTCTACATAGTGAGTTCCAGGACAGCTGGGGCTACAGGGAGACCCTGTCTCAAAAACAAACAAACAAACAAAAAAAAAAACCAAAAACTTTAAGGTTCAAAGAGGAAAACATTTTAAAAGTAATTATGTTTAAGTATGCTTAGGCATTTAATGACTTCAAGTTATCTGAAGTAGATGAATACCTGTTTTAACAGATTAAGAAATTATAATGAAATAAAAATATTTGCTACTGTGCTGGAGAAATGGCTCAGTGGTTAAGAGCACTGGCTGCTCTTACAGAGGACCCAGGTTTGGTGAACTCTATAGGTATTGCACACATGGTACACTTGCATACATGCAGGCAAAACACTTATACACACAAAATAATAATAAAAAATAACAAAAGTATTTTACTACTAATTCACAAATGAGCACAACACCCACAATGCAGTGGTATAATCTGAGCTTTCATCTTTATCATAAATCTTATTTCCTTTTTTATTTATTTTTTTCAGGGTCTCATTATGTAGGCCTGGATGGAGTGGAGGTCACTATTTAGACCAGGTTGGCCTTGAACTCAGAGATCAGCATTCCTCTGACTCCTGAGTAATGAGATTAAACAGAATGTGCCACTATGCATGGCCTTCCATCATAAATCTTATGCCAACATATTAACATACAGTGTAGCTTCTTCTACACATGTGCTTTTAGAAAAGTCCCAACTAAAATGAATCATAAAACAAGCATATGATTCAGATAATTTTGACAGGACAACAAAGTACACATTCAGAATAAGTTTCCTTCCTAGCCCAGTACCCCAGGGAAAACAACAGCTAATGAAAACAAAGTTATGATGATCCCTCCCCTTGAAAAGCAATGTAACAGACTCAACGTCACTATACAAGCTTCTAATATTTTAAGAAAGTTGCTGAACTTAAAAACAGGAGTAAGAGGGGCTGTAGAGCCACTTAGCACATACAGCTGACAGAGGATTCAAGGTCCTCACACCTACACACAACAGGAAGACTATGCAAGCTCCAACTCCAGGGCACCCATACTCACATACACATACCCACATAAATAAGACACATATCCACATGACCGAAAACAAAATAAGGGGCTAGAGACGGTTCAGTGGTTAAGAGCACTGGCTGCTCTTGCAGAGGATCTGGGTTTGTTTCTAAACATCCACATGGCAGCTAACAACCATCCCTAACTCCCGTTCTAGAGGATCTGAAGCCCTCTTCTGGGCTCCCAAGGCACTGCACAACATAGGTGCACTTACATATGGGCAAAGCATACAAAAAAAATAAATATTTTTTTTAATTTTAAAAGGAATGACATTTAATAAAGGTTTGACTAGATTACACATTTTATTTCAAATCACATGTGATTAAATAACCTAAATAAAAGGCTGAGGATGTTTATACTACAAAAAATACAACTAAAACCTCCTCACATAAAAACCCACCAGTAAATAGGAATTTATGCTTAATATAAGTCCAATTCAGTATTGCTATCCCATGCTTTAAATAAGCTCTTAAGCACCAAACCTAGTAACAATTCAACCTCAAAAACACATTGTCCCTTCAATAAAGGAAAATCTACAATTAAAAAATCTTAAATTGGAACTTAATGACAGAATGTAAAGCACAGTAAAATTTCCAAAAACATCATTTTTATTTTTTTGTCTTCCTGTGTTTTCAATGTTTTACAAAGGATTAAAAATAGTTAACTTATTGGGAAAGAAAAGGGATTCATGAATTCTAAAAAACAAAGCAAAATATCTCACTAAGTGGATAGACAAGTCTTTACCAAATATAAAGATATGTAATACCAAACATAGAAAAGAAACATGGAAATATTTCTTGATAAATTAAAGTTGCCATTATCACACCTATTTAAAATCTGAATACCACTGAAGCTCATAAAGGTGATTCAAGTTATTTTATAAAAGTGTAAACATTTTAAATAAGTCAAAATTCAGGATTATATGTCAGTAGAGATTACACTATATTCTACTAGTCAATTATCAGATAATCAGATACAGCCAAAGTTAAAGAAAAAACTCTAAAAGTTCTACTAAAATTAACATCTTTAAAATATTAAGTACATACCCATTAAATCCAGTGACAATTTTCAGTATTCTTTCCTTCATTTCATCAAAGGGAATATATTCAACATTAGGATTGGGAGGACCTCTTGGTTCAGGAGCTGAAGTTCTGAAATCATCCATTACCTTCTCCAGTTTGAAAATGAAATAGCCTTTAAATTGGGACCATTGAATCCTATAAAGCAAATAATTGGAAAACTCATTAACACCAAGTTGTCCTACAATTCCTGAACACAAAACACAAATACAGGCCATACAATGATGCTAATGCCAATAAATTAAGAAATTAATTAGTGCAAATGTCTACTTAAGAGTACTTTGTGGGGCTAAAGAGTTGGCTCAGACGTTAAGACCAGCCACTCTTGCAGAAGATCCAGGTTCAATTCCCAGCATCCACACAGCAACTAACTACTATCCTTAACTTCAGTTCCATGGAATCCAATGCCCTCCTGTGGCCTCTGTGGATACAGCATGTACACTGTGCACTTAACATAATACATGCGTCTAAGACCTAAAACTCACATCCACAGAAATAACAATTTTTTTTTTTTTAAAGAGCACACTGTAAGCTGGGCATGTACTTCTGTATTTTTACTGCCAAACTGGTTGGAACCACATATCATGTATATATCAAATGACAAAGTAGCCTAAAAATTATTGACTGAAGTCAGGCGTGGTGGCACACACCTTTAATCCCAGCACTTGGGAGGCAGAGGCAGGCTATGTTTGAGGCTAGCCTGGTCTATATAGCGATAGGATACAATGGTTAAAGTGTGTGTTGCTCAGGCATGAGGACAGCAGTTCAGATGCCCAGAACCAAACACTGGGTGGGTATGGAGGCCTGCTTGCAATTGCAGTACTTAGGATGTAGAGACAAGGGGATCCCTGGAGCAAGCTGGCTAGCTACACTAGCCATATCAGCAAGCTCTGGGTCCAATTGAGAAACCTTGCATTAATGACTAAGACGGAAAGTAATCAAGTAGAGCTCCCAACATCAACCTTTGGCCTCTGTATACACAAATGAACATCTACACACATGCACACACACAGAGACAGCGAATACAAATACGCTATCTACTGTTCTTATCTATTCATTGTGGTAGGACAGTGAAACACTCCATCCTACAGGGAAGCTCCTTAAAACTTAGGAAATTAACAACCCAGAAGCTTCAGGAAGTCCACGAAACTGACCAGATGCAATAGGCCCCCTAGTCCCCAAGCTTATAAAAGCAGTAAGAACAGCTAAGAGCCATTCTCACACAAGCTAAGCTGCCTAGAAAAGACAGTCTGCCTGTCCAGCCACCTGCAAGTTGTTCAGTGAGCTCCAGCTTTGGTGAGCTCTTACCTGTGCTGGGTTGGGCTTTCAGTGATCCAGCTGTTTTTGAGTCGTCTCTGTTACTATAAGTAACCTCAATACACTCATTGATTCACCATTCTGAACAGTCGTGGTATTCTTATTTTGGTGTGTCCCTATTGGAGTGAGCAGATGTTCAAGTCTCCCCAGGAAGTTCCACACAACATTCATTCACTGAACCTTTTCTTATCCACCCCTCACACTAGTAAGGTTAAGAGAAAAATCTGTAACACCTGCATAAACAGCTTTAATTCCAGGAGACACAAAAATTAAGTGTCAACCATTTTCTCTACAGATAGCACCACCATTAGTGGAGACACACAAATCTCATACAGAGTCACTCTTAATGAAACTGCACAAACAGCGAGCTCATTAGCAGCCCTATAAACTAGCAGTTGTTTTCAAATTGTGGTCCAAGAGATGAAGGTTACTGTCATAGAGTTAGACATTTTTACTGTGCTAACTTAATGTACTGATGACACAACAAAGATGGATACAATTATGGCAATTTAGCACAAATTAATCAAGGCAACAATACCAAACTACATTCATAACAGTATCATGAATTCAGTCTCTAAAAAAGGAGAAGGGGCTGGAGAGATGGCTCAGCAGTTAAGAACACCGGTTGTTCCTGCAGAAGACCCGGGTTCAAATCCCAGCACCCACATGGCAGCTAACAGCTGTCTGTTAACTCCAGTCCCAGGGGATCCAACACCCTCTTCTGACCTCCACAGGCATTGCACAACACAGGTGCACTTACCCTCATGCAGGCAATACATGTATACACATAAAATAAAATAAAAAACAAACAAAAATTTAAA